AGGAATCTCAGCATTACAACTAGCAAATTATTACAGCTAATACAGACAAACGTTCAGGTAAAGATATGACTTGAGGGATGTGTGCAAAGAAGAATTCAAATGCTAGTCATTTGGAAGTTGAAAGCTATTCAGGCAGCCTGGGTTTACATGTTTATGTATACATAAAAATGAGCATCTGAATTGTGCAGACCTGACAGTTTATATTTTTAAATACCAAGACTGCAAAAACGTCAGTCGTTGAAAAGAAAGTAATTACTTTAATTAACTGAAAGATCTTAGGCAAAAACAAGTACTACCATGATCACAGGATATTACCTCACCAGCATGAACACAATGGGCCATAATTTGTCAAATGTCACTGAAGCTAACAGTACAGAAATTTCGAGGAAGGGACAGAAGGGTGTTTAAACTCAATAGTTCAAAGGTTGCTGCTTGAACTAGATCATGCTGTCAAAAGCTTTCCAAAACTGGCATCCTATAAATCTACCCTGGTGGCCCAGAGGTTTCAACTCCATGCTTTCACAACTGCAGCCCAGGTTTGATTCTTGGTCAGGGAAGAATATGCACAGCTCTTGTGGTACACTGGTAGAATCTAATGCTGGGCCAAAAAGTCCAGGTTCAAGACCGACCTACTCCAGAAGCATGTCAAATCATGTCCAAACATGTTCATTTAAAATAACCATAATCTACATCAGTAAATGTGAAAATATTTCATTTACGTAGTAACTAAGAATTAAACTTAAAGTCAAATCTCATTTATTCCAGTTATAGCCTTTTGACAACATTGTAAGTGTTAAACACTGCAAAACAAAATCTCAATCTCATTCCTTCAGGCATTTTTTAAAAATGCAAAATGTAATATTTAAGTTGTCTAAAAACTACCCTTTGTTTCCTTTTCTTTCCAAAGTAGTCTTCCTTCCCTCTCTCTTTTGATATCTCTCCATAGATACTACAGCTTCTGACACTATTATCCATTGCTTTTATTTCACTGGTCTAGTCAAATTTCTAGTCAATGATGCCCCTCAGGATGCAGATGGAGGGGGATTTCACAATTGTTATGCCTTTCAATATTAACAGGAGGTGACTTGATTCTCTTGGTGGAGATGGCCATTTCATGGTGTTAATGTTATATGTCAATTATGAGCCATAGGCTCAACATTGACCATCGTTCCCACATGGCATAGACCACTTCAGTATCCAAAGACTTGCAAATGCTGAACTTGGTGTAATCATCAGCAATTATTCCCCACTTCTGAGCTGATGGTGAGGGAAGGTCACATAAAGCACCTAAAGATGGCTGTACCTTGGACACTATCATAACAAACTCCTGATATGATGGCCTGGGGCTAAGATAATTAATCTTCAACAACCACAACTATATTTCTTTGTATTTCTTATGACTACAGCCAATGGAAAGGTTTCTTCCCGATTCCCATCTACTTCCACTACATACTTGCACTGGATGAGGGCATCGCTGGCTGAGCCAGCATTTATTCCCCTTCCCTAATTCCAGAGGACTGTTCAGAGTCAAACACATGGCTATGGATCTGAAGTCACGTGCAGACCAGAACAGGCGAGGATAGCGGATTTCCTTCACTCAAGGACACGAGTGAATCAGATGGGTTATTTTTCCCTGAAAATCGACAACAGATTCACGATCATTGTTAAACTCTTAGTTCCAGATCTTTTATTGAATTCAAATTCCACCATCTGCATTGGCGGGATTCGAATTCGGATCCCTAGAACATTACCTGGTCTCAGTCCAGCAATAATACCCATAAGCCATCACCTCACACACCTCATACTTGCACTTGATGCTGTTAAAAGTTATGTCAGAGAAAAACATCCGCATGCAAACAGAAGGCACCCATCTCTTCTGATGGGAAAAAGACAAAAAAAAACGAATTCCAAGAAAAGACCTCTGTCTACCTGATCAACTATCAAACCCAAAGAATATCCATCACCCTGCAGACAGCAGCACTTCACCAGTGCTAAAAATCAAAAAGGACTGAGGGACCACTCCTTTCACAGATTACAGAAAAATCAGAGAAACCTTACAGTGTGGAAACAGGCCATTTGGCCCAACAAGTTCACACTGCCCCTCCGAAGAGCATCCCATCCAGAGCCATTCCCCTACCCCTGCGTTTCCCATGTCTAACCCACCTAACCTAAACATCCCTGGACACAATGGGCAATTTAGCATGGCCAATCCACCTACCCTGCACATCTTTGGACTGTGGGAAGAAACCGAAGCACCTGAAGGAAAATGATGCAGACAAGGGGAGAACGTGCAAACTCCACACAGTCGCCCAAGGGTGGAATCAAACCCAGGTCCCTGGCACTGTGAGGCAGCAGTGCTAATCCATGAGCCACCCACTGTTGAAATGTGGACATATGATCTTAGGAATCTTATTTAGCCTACCTAATACATTCTTTTATCCCACGTCCTCCATAATATTGACTTTAAACCACTTGTCTTTTGTTTGTATTAATCATGAACTAGCAAAGAAATAGATTAGAATTGCTTTCTTTCTTCACTCTCTTGTTGAAGTGTGAAACAATAATTATTTTTCTGTTCCTTACAAAGCCTGGTATGAACGGTTTTGCTTACCAACAGCAGTTACTCAGGCAAATTGTCTCATTGAGATCTTACACATTTCAAGATGGCTTGTAGAAAATTGGCACATGTTTATCAGCACACTCTTCCCGGTTAAGTTGTGAAAATATAGCAGCACAAAGACATGTTTAGAGTCAAAATTATTGCTTTGGGCTTCTATTTTGCATGATAGACTGAGCCATGCTTATCTGAATTGACCTGTAATCAATATCATAACATGGTTTATAGTCAAAATTTAAAATCAAATACGACTTGGATGCACTTAATTCAGCAGTACAGCTCATATTCTTAAATCATTATTATAATGTAAGGAGATCCAAAAGATACACTTTCATATCATCACACCTGTAAAATGTTATGTTCATACAAATTATCTGAGCGCAATGGTCATTCATTGACAGAATAATATCACAGCCAGCATCATTTCAAAGTAATTAACTGATCTGATTTTTCAAAATACGTGGAGAAATGTTGGTCAAGGGCATCAAACATTCTACTCCTCCCTACACTGTGACACGAGATATTCAAAGTTTACCTGAGGTACCAATATAGTTTATGAATATCTAAGTGTGACATTTCAAAGGGTAGCAACCCTAATATTGCAGCAATCTTTCATTGCTGCATTACACTGCCAGTCCATACACAACATTCGGGACCTTGTGTGAGGCTTGAACATACACAATGACAGAGGCACATGCACCAAAAATGAAGGTGAGATGACATTAGCATACAGTCATACAGCACAGAAACAGACCCTTCAGTTTAACTTGTCCAAACCAAGCTAGACCCATTTGTGAGCATTTGGCCCATATCCCTCTCAACCTTTCCTATTCACATACCTATTCTGATGTCTGTTACATATTGTAATTGTATATGCCTGCAAAATTAACAATACTAACCATGTGCAGTGGGAAGGTTTTGAATGTAAACAGAACAAAAGACAACTTACTGCAGAGGTATATATTCACGAACTATGTTGTGTAAACAGCAAGGCAGCCAGTCTAGACATGTGAGATAACAAGGTGTAGAGCTGGATGAACACAGCAGGCCAAGCAGCATCAGAGGAGCAGGAAGGCTGACATTTCGGGCCTAGACCCTTCTTCAGAAACCCCTCTCCAGCATCTGCAATTCCTACTATCTCTGGAACAGTCTAGACATGTATCTATATTACAGAGGCCTCAGTGACAAGGAAGATTAAACATTCAGTTTTACAGCAGGAATTACATACTTAACTGCCGCATGCTCAAATAATATTCTAACTCAAACTACACATAAAAAAAAACTTAATCACAAGAACACCTTAAGTACCTAAGCTTCAGGTTTGTCAATGTAGGACATCATATTACAATAAATTGGCCAAAATCTCTAGAACAGCATAAGAACATAAAAGCAGAAGCTGGACTAAAAGCCATCTAATCATTTAGGTCTATTCAGCTACCAACAAAACTGCGGCTAGTCTTCTCATACCATTCTACCTTCATGCATGATCCCCAAATCCTTGTATTTCCCAAATACGCAAAAAAAATTAACAAAGCAGTCATTCTATACTGTGTAAATGGAAACAGAAAGTTAGTAAGGGACATGGATAACGTGACAGGGAAAAATACAGCCAATCATTTCCATGAAGGGATGTATGAACCCATCTACTTGGGGCCAGAGCCCAGTTGGAGTATTTTCTTCATGGCAAGAAACTTGAAAAATGCAGGAGCAAGACATTTTGTACAAATGTCAAAAAGTTTATGTAGGGATACAAAACATATTCAAAACAGCTAATAGATTGTGGCCTTTTTCTTATGGGGCTTTGAATTAACAGTAGGTTATTTATACTCTACTGAGCCACATTTAACCCAGTCAAGGATATTGTTCGTAGTTTTAGGTGTTGAGTTGGAGGATGTATGAAGAGATTCAGAAGAACGTTACACAGCCTTAAAAGAATTTCATTACGACAAATTACATAAACTGGTTTGTTTTTATTCGAATTTTGAAAGATGAGTGATTTAATTGAAATATTTAAAAATATGATTCAATAGAGAGAGAAAATATTTCCCGAGTAGAATATTCTTAAGAACAAGGGGCAATAAAATTAGCTCTTGCAATCGAAGAAATCAGACAGCACATACTCCCTGCAAAGATACCAAAAAGCTTGAACGTCTCACACAGTAGGCAATAGATGCACAATCAATTGAAATGTAAGACTAGGATTGATTTTTATTTGTCAACGAAGGGTATCAGTTCAGACAAAGTGAAGCCAAGCATATGTATGCACAAATCAGTCACCAGCCAACTTCATGACAGAACTGGCTGAAGGTCCAACTATCTCCAGGTTCCATATATCAGCTAGGAACAAATCACAGTCCAAGTAAATGAGTTCCACTTGACATACCTGTGTGGCTTTATCTCTCACACAAGGAGCAGAATGGCTGTGCACATCACGTGGCCACTGACCAGTGAGGTAGGGAGCTGCAAGCGTATCCAATGATGACGTTCGGCGGATATTACTGGAAGGGCTCACCAGAGACTGACGAGATCTGTCAACTGAAATGAGGGAAACACTCGCATTAACTTTTCATAATCCAGAATCAAAGTATTTCAATCTTGACACACATTTTTGCAGACAAAATGAAGTGTATAAAAATACGGAGATTGCTACTCTGAAGAATTTCATCAGGGCACTCCCATGGTTCCGATGATCCTTTCCCTTCACTTATTTTAAACTCAATTCCTAACCAAAGAGCATAAATCCCTCAAGGCAGCAATTCCAAGTAGCCTAGTCTCTACTGTAGTCAGCATAGTGACTATTATTTAACTGAGAGACCTGCACTAGTGGCAGCAGGCTATTGGACTAAGAGTATCACACCAAAGCCTGATCCAGATATGAGCATTTCCTACAAAGATCACTGAACAGGACTGAGAGTTCTGGCTTATTTAGATACTAACAGCTTCTTGTAGAAGATAATATTTGGTCCTATTTTGACCATAATCGAGCTATTACTTTGGGAGGAAATTGATAAGCTTAAGGCCTAGGTAGATGAAAGCTCAAGTCAGCCCCATGATATCATTTCAAGTGCTCCTCAGGGCAGTGTCCTCAGCCCAACCACCTTTAACCATTTAAGTTGGAGTAAGGATATTTCCTCATAATGGCAGTGTTAATACATTTGAACTTGACCTTAACTTGAGCTAAATACCCTATCTTGCATGTATCTGGACAATGTCCAGTCTTGAAATAATACGTGGCCAGTGTGACAATAATACTACATGTGCCAAACCATCTCCAAGAAGCAGCAATGCCTTGACAGCATTACCATCACCAAATTTCTCTAAGCATCTGCCCTCTGCCACCTAGAAGGACAAGAACACTTGTGAATACAACCATATACCACTTCCTCTTCAATCCCTTTTTTTGGAACGATACCACCTCTCCTTTGCTTTCACTGGGTCAAAATCCTGGAACTACACATGGTCTGTAGAGGTTCAAGACAACATTTTTCAAGGTCACTTGAGGGTGGGTGATAACTATTAGCTTTGCAACACCCATATTGCATAAAAAAATTACTATTTCTTCCTCACTATTTGGTAGTCTATAGCAAATGGCTGACTAAACAAACATTTAGTTAAATAATAAGGCAAAGAAATAAATTCAGTTTTTCTGCTGCTTTGTAAGGGAATGTTGGGTGAATGCGTCTTTGAAGGCAAGACCCAAGTATCGGACGGAATGTTCATGAACCGGAAAAACGAACACTTCCTCTTCCAAGATGTTGCATATCCTGCTGAATACTTCCAGCATTTCCAATTCTTATTTCAGAATTCCAGCATCAGCAGGGCCTTTCAATTTCTGTTGTAATGCTGGCAATTTTTTTCAATTCTCAAATCCTCAACATATACGTCTATCTTTCTATGCACAATGCCAATGGTTTCAGCCAATTAATGGTGAGAGAACATAAATGTTAAATAACAAGAAACAGAAAGGTAGGTTATAAAAAAAGAAAAAATAGCTAAAAAAATGGATCCATCACACAGAGTCAGGATATTTTCTAACAGGAAAGAGAGCCATAGATTCAGAGATCTACAGCACAGCAAAGGGTCGCCACCTTTGGCCCATCTCAAGAAAGAGAGAAATAGCAGAAAAGCTAAGCAGAGATAGTAGGAACTGCAGATGTTGGAGAATCTGAGATAACAAGGTGTAGAGCTGAATGAACACAGCAGGCCAAGCAGCATCAGAGCAGCAGGAAGGCTGACGTTTCGGGCCTAGACCTACACCTTGTTATCTCAGAAAAGCTAAGCAAGTGCTTTGAGTCTGTTCTCCCTGAAATACTGAAGATTCAAGGGTCTAGTCAATGTGTGGAACTGAAAATAATCAGCATTAAGAGTCATAATATAGAAATAAATAAGATTGAAAGTTAGCAAAACGCCAGGGCCCAATGACCTTCATTCTAGTGCATTGAAAGAGAGGACTATGGAGATAGTAAGTACATTGATTATCATCTTTCAACATTTTATTCATTTTGCAGTGGTGTCTCCACACTGAACAGCTGCAAATGTAACCCCATTGTCGAAAGAAAGGATGAAGTGAGAAAAAAGCGAACTACAGACCTATTAGTCGGATTTCAGCAGTAAGGAAATAACTAGAATATATTATAAATGGTATGATTACTGGATATTTAGAAAATGCTTGTCTGACTGGACATGGGTCAACATAGTTTTTTAAAGGACAAATTATGTTTGACAAATCTGATTTAGCTTTTTTTTTAAATATTACCAGCAGAGTTGATAAGAGGGAACTGAGTGGATATTGTGTTTGAGATCTTAGGAAGGTTTTTAATAATGTGCCACAGAAGGGATTAACTAAACAAAATGGAAGTGTGTGTGTACACACACACACACACACACACACGTGTATATATATATATATAATCTCACAGCTTTTTATACATACATAAAAAGCAAGAGGGTAGCCCACTCAAAGACAAAGGAGGGAATCTGAGTGTGGAGCCAGAAGAGGTAGGCGAGGTTCTAAACGAGTATTTTGTGTTGGGGTATTCACAAAAGAGGAGTTGGTGGAGGATGATCTCAGGAAAGGGAGTGTCAAATTTCTAAGCCAAGTTGCTTCCAAAAAGAGGTGTTGTGTGTCTTAAAAAAAGTATTAAAGTAGGTATGTCCCCGGGTCCTGAAAGGATCTATCCCAGAATATTGAGGGAGGCAAGAGAACAAATCGCTGGAACATTGACAGACATCTTTGTATCCTCTTCGGCCACAGAAGACTGGAGAATAACCAATGTTGTCCCATTGTTTAAGAAGTCTCATGTCAGTGGTAGCGAAATTACTGGAAAAGATTCTCGGGGACAAGGTCTGTATGCATTTAGAAGCAAATGGACTCATGAACAATAGACAATATGGTTTTGTGCAGGGGGGACCATGCCTCACTAACTTAATCGAGTTTTTTGAGGTGGTGATGAAGTTGCTTGATGAGGGAAAAGCAGTTGATGTTGTCTACATGGACTTCAATGAAGCTTTTGACAAGATCCCTCATGGCAGACTGGTACAAATGGTGAAGTCATATGGTATCAGTGAACTGCCAAGATGGATACAGAACTGGCTCAGTCATAGGCAAAAAAGAGGGTAGCAATGGAAGGCTGCTTTTTGGAATGGAGAACTATGACTATTAGTGTTCCACAGGGATCCGTGCTGGGACCTCTGCTGTTCGTGATCATAAATGATTTGGAGAAAAACATAGCTTGTCTAATTAGTATGTTTGCAGATGATACAAAGATTGATGGAATTGAGGATAGTGAGGAGGATTGTCAGATGATAGAGCAGGGTATAGATCAGTTGAAGGCATGGGCAGAAAAATGGCAGATGGAGGTTAATCCAGACAAATGTGAGATGATGCATTTGGAAGGTCAAGTACAGGTGGAAATTATACAGCGAATGGCAGAACTCTTAGGAGTATTGGCATGCAGAGGGATCTGGGTATGCTAGTCCATAGATTATTGGCAGCACAGGTAGATAAGGTAGTAAAAAAGTCCTATGCCATGCTTGCCTTCATTGGAAGGGGCACTGAGTATAAGAATAGGCAAGTTATACTGCAACTTTATAGAACTTTAGTTAGGCCGCACTTGGAATATTGGATACAGTTCTGGTCATCACACTTCCAGAAGGATGTGGATGCTTTGAAGGTGGTACAGAAAAGGTTTACTAGGATATTGCCTGGTCTAGGGGATTTTAGTCATGAAGAAAGGTGGGGTAGACTAGGTTTGTTTTCAATGGAACGCACCAAGTTGAGGAGCAACCTGACAGAAATTTTTAATATTGTGAATAGTGAGTAAAGTATGAGGCTTTTTCCCAGGGTGGAGGTATCAATTACAAGGAGACACAGGCTTGGTTGGGGGCGGGGGCACAGTTTAAAAGAGATGTGCAAGGCACATTTTTCACACAAAAAATGCTGTGAGGCAGCAGTGCTAACCACAGCCACCGTGCCGCCCTGTATTGGTGCAGGCTTGGAGGGCTAAAGGGCCCTGTTCCTGTACTATATTGTTCTTTGTTCTATTATGGGATTGGTGATAATATACTAGCATGGATTAAGGATTGGTTCACAGGCAGAGAGCAGACAGCAGGAATAAATGAATCATTCTCGGGTTAGTAGGCTCCGACCAGTGGGGTACCACATGGACCAGTGCTTGGATCACAGCAGTTCAATAATTTATCAAAGGTATGGTGTGAGGGCTAACTGGAATCTTTCCAAGTTTGCAGATGATACAAAAACTAGTTGAGGGTAATGAGTTACGAAGAGGATTCAAAGAGGCTTTAAAGGAATTTCAACAAGTTGAATGAGTGGGCATGAGCATGGCAGATGGACGACAATGTGGCTGAGTGTGAGGTTATCCACTTTGGTTAGTGGAACAAAGGCACAGAGTATTTCCTGAATGGGGTGAGATTTCAAAAAGTGGTGACCAAAGTGACCTCTGAGTCCTTAATCAAATCCCTGAAAGCTTGCATGTAATGCAAGTCAGAGTGCAAATGGTATATTGGGTCTTTTTTGCTATAATAATGGCTTGAGTACAGGAACAAAGAAATTTTGCTTTAATTACGTACGGCTTGGCAAAACCACATCTTGAGTATTGTATGGAGTTCTGGTACCTATGCTTTAAGGCTGGTTATACCTGCCATAGAGTGCACGCAGCACGAGATTCACCAGGCTGATTCCGAGGATTGTCCTATGAGGAGAGACTGAGGATACTGGGCCTGATTTCTCAAGAGTTTATAAAAATGAAGGATGATCTCAGAAACTTCAAAAATTCTTGAAGGGTTAAAGAAGAGTGCAAGCAAAGCCAGGGGACATAAATCCTAAATGACTTGCCTTGAGACCAAGATGAAAAGCAACCTCTTCATTCCAGGAGAGAAAGTGATTCTTTGGAATTCTTTACCCTAGAGGCTGTGGAAGTTGTCATTAAATTAGCTCAAGACAACAGTCCAATCCTGAAAGCACACAGTTTGTCACAGGTGATCTTTGAAGCAGATGGGTGAGACACACGGGATTTTTGTTTTAACTATTCATTTATCGGATGTGGGTGCCACGGGGTGGGTCACCATTCATTGCCCAACCTTGAATGACCAGACAGCAGTTGAAAGTCAACTATTTTGCAGTGCATCTGGAGTCCCATATAGGCCAGGCCAGGTAACGATAGCAGGTTTCTATCCCTGAAAGACATTGGTTTTTACAACAATTTGGCTCACCAATCAGCAATGGTTTCATGGTCATCAGTGGATTCTTAATTCTAGTTTTTTTTATTGAATTCAAATTCCACCATCTACCATGGTGTGATTCAAACCCAGGTCCAAAGAACATTAGCTGATTTTCTGGATTAACAGTCTAGCAATAATACTACTAGGCTTACTACCTCCCCTTTTGCACATTCTTACTGTTGATTGGTCTCCATGTGGTCTACTCAGTGACACTGCAAGTGGTTGGCACCTTCATGTTTCTTTGTTCTCCAGAAATCCAGTTACCAACTGCACAGGCACTGGAACCACTCCTACCTCAAGAATTGTCAAATCCATTCACAATCCATTTTTTTTAAAATCACCAAGAAATCTCCTCTTAAGCATTCATGTTCTTAGAACAGCTGCTTTCTCCTGTTTCTCTGCATACAAAGTTCTGCACTGCTCGTCCCACTTCGTAAATCTCTTCCACAACTCAAGGACCTGACATGCTATCTCAAGTGTGGTGCCCAGGACTACACAGCATTCCAGCTGGGGTCCAACGACTTTACTGTACACTCTACATTAATTCTATAAAGTTTATTTTTGTAAATCCATACAAGAGAAGTCATCTCAAATTATACTGCCTCTTACAAATTTGTGAAAATCATAACAGCAGATTGGAAGCAACTGCTCCACACAAACTTAAACAATTCAAAGAGAAATGTCATCACCACTTTCTCAACGGCAAAAACGAATATGTAATATTTAAGGACCTTGCCAACAGTGCCCACATTCCATAAGTAAATAATTTTAAAATAATCCAATTCGTTGAATTATTTTGCATTCCATGTTTAAGGTTTCCAATTATTCTGCAAAGTAATAATTGTGATATTTGAAAACCTGTTTGTTCTAACAGCATCCATATTTCTAAGAGATTCTGTTAGGAGGAAACAGAATTCTGAACTGTATCATCATATTTCTCCCAGCAAATAATTGGCAGATTTCTATTACAGAATCATAGAATTCCCAGTGTGTAGAAGCAGGCCATTCGGCCTATCGAGTCCACGCTAATCTCCAAATAGTATCCCACCCATTCTTGCAGAAACATTTTGACTACAGCACCAGGGAACAAGGCTTGATTCCAGCCTTGGGTCACTGTGTAGAGGTTGTACATTCTCCTGTGTCTGCATGGGTTTCCTTCGGGTACTTCGGTTTCCTCCCACAGTCCAAAGATGCGTGGGTTAGGTGGATTGACCATGTTAAATTGTCTGTAATGTCCAAAGATGTGCAAGATGAGCCAAGGGAATTACAGAGTTCGGGGCTATGTTGGGGGGACTGGGTCTGGGTGGGATGCTCTTCAGATGGTCAATGGAAACTTGATAAGCCAAATGGCCTCTTTCCACACTGTAGGGGTTCTATGATTCTACTCTAAACATTTCGATTCAGGAGAGGTTTGGCCTCTAAAATGCAACATTATTTTATTCCAATAAAGCTGTACTTGGCTGAAATGGACATCAAAATCAAGTGTTAACTCCTTATTTTTACCCACTGATACATTCCCGAAAGCCTTATGAAAGCAAACGTTGGGCAAGGACAGGATCATAGTCGGTGATACTTTGGTGATCAGAGTCTCTTTTGGCATGAACAAACCGGATAGTTCTTTGCGGTTTGAGTTTTGGTATAAAATTCCATTAAAATCTATCTTTTGGTTCAGACATGAAATCATTATATAATCCCCTGCTGCAAACGGATCACTGATTGCAAGCTAATACAGAAATTTCAATGTCCCCAAAGCACAGCTCAAGCTAGAATTTCCTATCCATTACTCAAGTTAATTTCAGTCGGCCAGTATTTGGAGGAAAAGTTGACAGGATGTGAAAATTGGCCAGCAGGTTCAGACGATTAAGACAAACATTGACAGTTATGAACTTGCAGGCCAATTTATGCCTCTCTTGCAAATAACATCTATTTTGCCTATTTTTCAGAACTTCTTGGATTTGTAACACCTCATATTTCGCTTGGGAACCCTGCAGCCCAATGGTCTCAATGTGGACTTCACAAGTTTCGAAATCTCCCCACCCCCAACCTCATTCCAAGACCAGCCCAGCTCGTCCCTGCCTCCTTGACCTGTCCATCTTTTCTCCCACCTATCCGCTCCTCCCACCTCACTGACCAACTCCCATCCCAACTCCCTACCTACACTCACCTTTATTGGCTCCATTCCTGCCTCCTTGACCCACCATCGCCTCCCCCTCTCTCTATTTATTTCACAGTCCCCTTCCTCTCCCCCATTTCTGAAGAAGGGTCCAGACCCGAGATGTTAGCTTTCCTGCTCCTCTGATGCTGCCTAGCCTGCTGTGTTCTTCCAGCTCTACACCTTGTTATCTAAAAAGAATACTTAACTACTTTTTATTTTCAGATCACTGAGATCATGTTTCATTTTCTTGTCCCTTTTTATCCCTCCCCAAGTCTCCGAATATGTCAATTTTATTAAAACAGAGTGCGAGTGAACTTTTCCAGAAATTTACCTGCAGGTTAATTGCAGTATAACATCAAGAGCAGAACATTTCAGTCAACAGATTTTCTCCATCCTCAGAGTGATTACAGCCAGCTTGCACGAAGAACAGTCTGAATGGTAAACCCACACTTTTAAATTGTTCTCCTTGCTTGGCTATGTGCATTGAACTTGATTTCCAATAGTTTTTAACCTCAAACATTTTAACAAAAAAATTGCACATTTATCATTCACAATTAACGTATTAATTTACAGTAGAAGCATCCAGTACATTTCTCCCCATGGAGAGTCAGAGTCATACAGCATGGAAACAGATCCTTCGATCCAACCAATCCATGCCAACCATATTTCCAAACTAAACTTGTTCTACCTGCCTGCAATTGGCCCACGTCCCACAAAACATTGCATTTTCATGTACTTATCCAAATGGCTTTTAAACGTTGTGACTATACCCGCATCCATCATTTCCTCAAAGTTCATTTCACACACAAAACTGCCCCGCCTGTCTTTTTATGATTTTTTTCCTCTTACCTTAGTGGCAAGATAGATCTTCAGCTGAGGTGGGGGGGGGGGGGGGGGGGGGGG